CACTCCCTATTAATTTACTCTCCCACCCCACACTCTCAGCTGCTGCGTGTGCGCCACACATTAAAAGTGAAAGTTATCACACTGGACTGAACTGTCTGCTCATCTTAAATGCTGAGGTGACAAGCACGAGTGCCTAAAGCTGAAATAGAAAACTAAACACTAACTTCTGACAAAACAGCCCAACAAAATGCTCACTCACAGTAATGGCTGTTTTAGCTTCGAGCGGTGCACATTAAAGGAACATTGCAGCAGTATCTTCCTTGTCACATCACATTTTCCCAGGTTTCAGCCATGTACAGCACATTAACATAAACTGGGGGATTATCATCTTTGAAACTACAAAGGTACAATAGAAACCTGGATATTACATAATTTATCAGATTAAACTTTCCTCATCTTTCATTTACATAACACACGCTAACACGATGAAGAAAGAAATCATCACCCCAGCATAGCTTTATTATTATAATCATCACTGATATGCTGACATTAGCTTGTAGCTGAAAACATTAATGCTGTCCGAATGGTTTAACTTTACAGATACACTAAATTGACAAAATTACTGGGTCAGCTATATCTACAGGAGTTGCTTGGACGTAAAAACTCATCTCATGAAGCTCCTGGCTCACATTTTTCATGCTGATGTTAATGTCAGAGAAGGTCTGGAGCTCTGCAGTTAGTGCAGGCAACTTTTACACACTGTGGACCTCAGCACTTGTCAATCCCACTCTGTAACTTTACACCGATACTTTTTACCTGAGTTGCTGTTGTTCCTAAACACTTCAGCTTTGTAATAATACCACTTACAGTTAATTTTGGAATATTTAGAAGGGAAGAAAATTCATGAACTGACGCTCAGACTCAGTGAGCTCTTTAGAACGACCCATTGTTTTACAAGTATTTTCAAAGGCACACTGCATTTGATTTTATACACCCATTAAAATGCGACTGTAAACGCCTGAATTTAAAGATTAAAAGGCCTGACCCAATATTTTTGTCAGTGAACCATGGTGAGAGTCATTATCCACAAATACATCATTTTTGGAACAGTGGAGAGCCTTGCCGTAGTGTCTGGCCTTCTAAAATTACTCCAAGAGTGTGATGACTCATTCAGGAGGACCCAGAACAACATGTGAAGAACTGCAGGCCTCACTTGCCTCAGTTGAGGCAATGATTCAACAATAAGCAAGAAACTGGACAAAAATGGGAGAATTCCAAGGAAAAAACCACTGCTGACCAAAAAGAAGACTTTTGGGGAAATATTCTGTAGACTGACGAGACAAAAGTTTAACGTTTTGGAAGTTGTGACTCGCATTGGTAAGTTCAGGCCCTGAAACTCAAACACACTTGGGTTATGCAACAGGAAAATTATCCCAAAAGGTTTGGAGTTTGCCTAGTCAAAGTCAGAACTTAAATCAGATTGAGATACTTTGTTATGTCCGTGCACAGTCCATTCGTGCTGGACACCCCCCATTGTGGCTCAATTAAAACAATTCTGCAAAGAACAGTGGACCAAACTTCCTCCAAGTGATGTGAAAGACTCATTATCAGTTATCACATTGGAGTTCTTGCTGCCATGGATGGGACAACAAGTTATTAGGTTTAGACTCAGCCACCACCTCTGCTCTCACTGTCACTCAGCACCAGCTCTCAGCCCATAGGTGTACACCTAGGTGTACACGTACACCCTGTGTACACCTATGACTGTACACCAAACTGACCCAACCAATGTCATCGTCAAGTATGCTGATGACGCTGTGGTTGGGCTCATCTCTGATACAGATGAGACAGCGTACAGGGCAGAGTTAGAGAACTTGAAGCTGAATGTCCTTAAAACCAAAGGACTCATAATGGACAGGAGGCACAGACAGGTCCACTTGCCCCTGATTATAAATGGAGAACAGCTGGAATTATTCTCCTGGGCACCCACATCTCTGCTGATCTCACCTGGACCCTCTCCTCCTGCCTGGGTGTTTGGTATACAGGGGCCATGACTGAGAACAGGCAGGCTGTGCAGAGGGTTATTAACACCGCCCCCCCAAAAATCATTGGCTGCCCTCTACTACCCCTGGAGGCCATCGCCAGATCCTCCTGCCTCAGGTAAACCAGGGCCATCACAGGTGACTCCTTGCACCCCACCCACCACCTGTTTGACCCGCTGCTCACTGGTCAGTACTACACGTCCAGACCACGAAACAGCCTCTTCCCCTGTCAACAAACACTATCCCCCCCACACCCCACGGTGAGCCATGGTCTGAGTAACCCCCATCACTCAGGCCACTCACATATGTACTTATACTCAAGTCCTCTGCACTACTTCCAAGCACTTTGTATATAAATTCCTGTAGTTTGGAAAGATTTCACCTGTTTGTTATTTATTCCGGTTGTCTTACTATTTATATATTATTCCTGCACAGTTGCCATGGAGCAGCCATAATTTCGTTGTACAATGACAATAAAGGGCTATTCTATTCTATTGCATTCTAATATATGATTCGCTGAAATATGTAAGTGTGACAAAAAAAAGAAATTAAGAAGGGCATAGATACTTTTTTGCAGCGCTGTAAATGTTTAAATATAAGGATAAATTAGAATTTTTAAATTTGAATGAGCTGAATACATGAATACGTTTGCATATTTTTTATTTCTTTCCTTTTTTTTCTCTTTTGCAGCTTGATTGTAATTCTGTAGTTGTAAGAAAACTTTTCTTGTGATTACAGAAATATAATATACATCTTTTCTGCTGACAGAGACCATGACTTATCATGATTCATTGTGCTCCTAAAAGTCCTGGGTTTTTCTTTCTTTGTTTTCCTTCTTAATATTTTAAAAAATCTGCAGTAAATCAAATTCTAAATAGTGTTATCCATCTGGCACCAAATTTGGTTTATATGAAACATAACTTCTCCAACACCAGTCCAAACTCACAGGTTTATAAATCCATATAGACAGTGAAATACTGTGCTGTATACAGTACATTCTCAGAACATATAATGGTCACATCAGCTGTAATCATGACCACCAGAGTGACACTCGGAGCGTCTGTCAGCTCTTCTCTTTTGGCATATTATTAATTTATTATTATTTTCAACTCTCTGCACCTCGAAAGGTCAACTAGAAACCTACAATGAGGCATTTTTTAAAAATAATTTTTCATGCAGTTAAATGAGTGACAATTCAAAAGTATGACCTAATGAATGAAGGAACATGTCAAGTTGGGTTACTGATTGAAAGGAAATTACTTGGAAATTGGCAAGTAAAGAGTTATTCCTTCATTCAATGATCAGAATAGAATTTAATGCATTTAAATTTATATGTACAGCACCTGAAATTGTAATGCCTTATATAGTTCTTATCATGTTGGATTAGCAACAAAACTCTTGTGTTAAATTACTAAAATTTGAGAATTCATGAAATTTTCTACCTCACAATCCTCCAATTATTTTTAATATATTCTCGTGTATTTCATGTCTTTTTGGAAACTAATAAATTATGTTTTTATTTTTTTTTATTTTGACAATTTCAGTGCTCCACAAATGAGTATGCTGCAAATGGGACACAACATTTGCAATTCTTCATATTTTTCATGGTATAATTTCCAGGTTACGTGAGTCACACCAGAGTTCATGGGTGAAGCCACGGCTACGTTAGACATAGAAACACAGAAACCATACAAATCAGTGTCAGACGTGACAATGACTGCTACAGCAGCTGAAGCCAGAACTTTGAGATTTTTATCTGTGAAATTTGCTTTAGAAATACATTTTACTTACTTACCTACTACAATGAAAAAATATCTTTACTTTTTCACACGCCATTACATTTAACATATAAAGTATTCTGCATGGTAACAAAACAACTTTTAAATTTCCTGGGCCCTTTATGGGGCTGAATTAGCCTACTTGGTCTCAAATCTCATCTAATTTAATCCCTCTCTGTGAAAGAACTGCCGCTAACTGAATGAATATGATTGTTTACACCTAATATTGCATTTTATTTTTATTGCACTATAGAGGCTGCTGAGAAACATTTCATTTGAGCCTGTGTACTTCTGTAAATAGCATCCGAAATGACAAGAAACACTCTTGAAACTTGAATCTTGCAAAGTAAATAAGTGTAAAAGGTAAGTTCTACGCATGTACCATGTCATACAACTTCATATAAGGTATTAATATATATTACTCAGCTACACTTAATTGATAAATTTACTATAGAATCTAATTTATAAGAGAGATAAGTTGACAAATTATAATGTAATCTCCTTGAGGTGATTCCATTGATCCCTGAGGCAAATTTACAAGCTATACATTACATTTAATTAAATCAGCAAAACTTGTACAGGTCACAGCATTAAAGATAACAACACAGCAAAGATCATGTTCCAATAATATTTCTACATTTGAGTTATATATATATATCAACTCATATGACTCATGCTTGAAGGTGGGCTTGCTCAATTTGACAGGATGGCAGGATAAGGAAGGGGGTGGGTTTGGGGCATGAAATGAGAAGCACTGAGGAAGTAGAGCTCCCGAAGACACAGCACCACCATCACGCAGCGTACAATACAGTAAGACGTGAGCTTCAGCTGTTCAGTAATCTGTGCGAAAGGGAGCCACCAGGAGTTTTAACCCCAACATGCTCGGCAGAAAGGTTTCACAGAAGCAACTACAAAACTGGCAACATCACCACAAACCCAGATACGTTCACAAACCCAGCTAGAGTCAGACATCTTGATAGCTTGAGCTTAAGAATACAAACAACAGCATTCTTTCATCTTTCATCTTCAAAGCCCCCACGTATGTTGGCAGACGAATGGCAGTCAAACCCAAACAGGACAGGTCAGGGACAGGGCAAGGCAGAGGCAGATCAGAGGGACCACATACACACAGCAAACGAAATCATATCAATAACAGGGGGGGAAAGAGAGGTAGGATGGAGAAAGAAGATAGCACGGGCCACCGTACGAACTCGACGACAGAAGAAGCAATCTCACAGACCTGATCAGCGAAAATCCTGGTTTTTGGCTCAAGGATGGCTCCTCCTCTTATCTCATCCTCCACAGCCATGAGTCTTGGAAGCAGAGAAAGAGAGAGGGGGAGAGAGAAAGTAGGGAAGGGGGGGTGACAGAAGGAGAGGGAGTATTATGAATTCAAAATGATACTTAACAAGATGTTGAGCAGATGCATCTCCAACATCTGGCTCAACGACATCACAGTGATACGATGCTGATCTCCTGTATCTCAAATCTAAATCTCAAATACTGATAGGAAGCACAATCTTTTGAGCCACTGAGCAGCAGGAACGTAAGCCGTGCTTTATGAGGCACTGCCAATTTTCACTGGTGGAGCCTTGTTTTGTCCCCATGGGATTTATCAAAGTATTTGTTCCCAATTTAAGGTGTTTTCAAAGCGCAATTACAGCCAACAGTGGAAAATTACACCCGGTTATGTGACGTGAATGTTCAGTAACTGATCCCCATCATCCCCAGGGAATTTCCCATCTTGCGTAACATGGACTGACCAAGGCACGGGCGGAAAAATCCTTTGACTAATCATTTCAAAGACTCTGCTCGCAGATACGAGCGAGAGTCCGGCTGCAGTTTTCATGAGCCAGCAAACAGTGCAGGTTTCCCAGCTTTCATGATTATTCAAGTGCCAGGGATAGAGTCATTCAATGATATTTCTCACAAAGCGTTATCTTACACTTACTTGGCCAACTGGCTAGATTGTGGATATTGTCATTTGGTGTAAATGCCAAGTAGAAGTTACCGTGAATAAAGAAAGACCTCTCAACATCATAGACTTCAATGTATTGCCTTCATGATTTTCCATGTTTTACATTTTTTTTTAATCGTAGCTGACAGCAGAAGAATAAACATCCTTTATTTTCTTAACATGAAACATGACTGTTGGAATGTTATCCCTTTATAATAGTCAACTATTGAGTAATCTTGCAAACGCATGTCAATTTGTCAAAGTAAAACAAGGTGGAAGATTGTCACTTGTGCATTCATTAAGCCACTAATCCAATCAAATAGTTGACAGGAACATTTAATTGGCGCCATGCAGAAATAAATACACCACAAATCAAGTCGTACTGTGTCACTCAAAGCTAGTCCCCTCCACCACATCCATATCACTTTATTAAGAACACAGAGGCACGTGTTTGACAATAAAGAACGAAAATCCACAGGTGAAGTTTCAAACATAAGCGTTTGGATGTTTTATTCCATAAATAATGTACAATGTTGAGAGTTTGTTTTTGTTTTTTTTACAAAAGAAGAGAAGAGGAAAAGAAAAGAGTCAATCATAAGCACACACAGAAATATTAGCACTGTCCCAAAAAACAATGGAATGTAACATGGGCATACAGCATTAAGATTCTGACATGACTCCAAAAAGGCAGACAATGATTCATGTGGGTGGTATGTTACAAAAAGAAGAGGGAAAAAAAAGAAGTTAAGCTTTATATATCCAGTTGTACTTCAAGTAGTGTGCTTTTGAGGTCAAGTCGTACATTTAGTCAAAACAATGTGTGTATGTACCAACATGAGGTCACAAAGTCTGAATATTTTGCTACAGAGGAAAAAGGCAAAAGACAAAAGGTGTCAAATAGGATGTAAAGTTAATGAAAAGCAAAAGGAAAGACAGACCTGGGTCAAACAGCAGCTGCAGATATGCTCTCTATTTTTTGTAAACTTACCTGATAACATCTAATTTGTGTTGATACAGCAAGTTTAACCCAACCTCATGACAAATTTGAGCTTACTCTGCACTTTAATCGCACATTACAAATCATTTTAACATAAATTAAAGCAATGTCTTTTTGTCAGTCAAACATAAACGAAACAAGCAAACTAAAAGTGTTTTAAATATACAAAAACAACCAAACCATGCAATCAACCCAAGTCCCCAGTACAGAACAGCATGTTAATATGCATTTAAAAAACAGTATGTTTGACTTACATTTGACTGACGGATATGCCTCCCATCGAATTTATCACATTGTTTATTTATGTAAAAACTATGCAATCCAAATGGATGCGGTTAAAATGCACATTAAACCAAATTCCTCTTTGAGTGCATTTGTTTAAAATAAACAACGCAACTGTTTGACACAGGTCTATATAAAAGTGAGCAAAAACCCTTGGCTGTTGCTACAAGCCATGTCAATCACACACACATCAAGCCAAAACTCATCACCACTATGAATTCATTTGCAAGATTTAAACATAACTTTTGCTGTTGTACAATCTATACAGCCTATCAATATATTCTTGCTACAAAGAGAGGCAGGTATACTGACACCAGAATATTATCTAAGACTCTGGAGAGGGAAAATAAATAGAAAAGAATATGTTTTTTCCTTTTAATACTTAAATCATATTTTAAGTGCATAAGTTAAATGACAGTCTAACTCTCTTAAACAACTATTCTGATCACCACGTCACCGGACACCACCAATGACGGACTGCAGGTCAAAAACAAAATCATACCAAGCATTTACAGCAAAAATCATACAGAGATGAGAAAGTCAGTTTTGCTTTAATTAATAAATAATATAAATTTCAATCTTTCATTTAAAATGCAGATAAGTTCACAAGCACCATACAGGTCATCAAAAAAAAAAAAAGAAAAAGAAAAAACAACCCATAAACAATAGAAAAAAAACCCAACTTAGGCTTTAAGAACACATTTTGCAGAACATACTGCTGTCAAAAGCTCACGTCATTGTCGTCATGTTGTCTCTGTGGTGTTTTGCATTTTACAGTATTCCAGGTCTATATTTTGTATGTTTAGATACTGCAGATGGCACCTGGTAAAAGATTTTGGCAGGAAGTCACTGTTTCGTTATCTACACAAGATGCATACAATACACCTCCTCAGGATCCTGCATGTGCATTCGGCACAAACAGCACATGCAGACACATACTGCATCTGTTATTGCGCTTCTCCTGCTAAAAAGTTAGCTATTGCAAGGTTAAAATAGTAATCTCACTCTCAATAGAATTCATATACATCACATTTCTTATACTACTATTATTATGGCTCTTGCATTACTGAATTTACTATGCTATGGGTTATAGTTAAAATAGATTATTACTATGACAGGTGCAATTAAGACCATTAAGTCCCCTCCCCCCTTTCTGCTGCAAATTCAATGCATCTCGTCAATATAAATCTCTTCAGTTCACAGCAAAGAGCTCGGGGAAGATAAATAGTTTCATTCATATTTAAAATTAAAGTATTTTGACAAAAAAATATGAGAGCCTGTAGCCAACTAATGGAATAACTACCCTAAAGAAAAAATAAAAATACAAGTGCTACAGGTAAAGTGGATTCAGTGTTTAACCTAGCATGACCTAAAACTCAATATTCGGCTTTGGTTTAAATTAGATTGTTGAGAACAAAATGTGTACCTGGTCTAATGACATAGGTTGGATTTGCTCTGAGCTTAAAGCAAATTCTATGCACAGAACATTAAGGCTTCTCTGAAAAAAAATATCTCTCAAACTTGAAACATAACGCTGAGTATTTTAGGTCTGCAGATAAAGAGTTGGTTTTTTTTCCAAGCCTACACAGGAGCCATGAAATTAAGGTCACAACTAAGGGCTCCATTAGCAGAACCTGAGCTTGCTTTTGCATCAACATAATATATATGTATATATATATGTTTGTATATCTGAATGTGAAAATTGAACATAAAAGTCAATTTAAGGTGAAACATAACATAAGGCTATGGTTGCACTTGTTATTTCACTGATATTCTGAAGTCCAATCAACAGGACGCTTTCTACATTATTTGCATTGCTCGTGTGTGTGCATTAGATCTGCAATGCTCTGCATGACCTGGGCTGGCTCAGTGAATTGTGTGTAAAATTGACTCGGAAGCATCCAGATCTGCTACTTACTGTAATTCATCCTTGTGTGGTCAGATGATAAAGGTCCCAAAAGTTACAAGTTTAAGCCTTGAAAACAGCAGCTAATAACTGCACGTTGTGCTTCATGTGTACAGCACTCTCCTTAAGCTTTAACTTCAGGGGAGCAGTAATCAAGGGTTTTGCTTTAAGTGCTCTGACAAAGTTTCTGTAGTATAGGGCATAGCTCATTTATGCCTTTATACCTGAATCTTCACCATTCACTGACTGATTCAGGTTTGTCTCTGATGTTCTCCCCTCTTCATTTCACATCATGTGTTGTTAAAAGAGGTATTAGTCCCCATGTTCACTCTGGAGAGGTAAAAAAAACCCCATCAGCAGTCCTTCAGTGAACATGGTTCACCTTGATTTAAAATGGAAGAGCTAATATTAAACCATGGTCTTCCATAGTCCGGTGCCCGAAGGTCCAAAACAATTCTTTGAGTTGGTTTAAAAAGTGCAGACATGTTTCTGAAGTTTTAAAACTCCCCATCCTTTTGTGCTTTTACAGTGCAATCTCGTGGGAGAATCATTTGAAAATTCTGCTAACTGGAATCATCCTGCATGATCCCAAAATCCAGAACTTTGTTCATAAACAAACAGCTGATGGTGAGTGTGACAGCGCAGGATAAAGGAGGACGTTTTAATGGTGGTTATATACAAGGTTAGGCCTTTTAAGATGTTTTTCCATAAAAGACGAGCAGGACTCTCTGTCTTCATTCCAAGTCTTCTTTCCTGGAGTGGATTAGAAGTGGCAATATTCTCTGTCACAGTTATCCACCCTTCAGTTGCAGACCACAGACTATTATAAGATGTAAAAATACTGCAATATTTTCATGTAGTTTTAAGTGTCTTTTCACTGAAAAATAAAAACAAAATTAAATGCAGGGCAGCATTGCTAATATGCGGTCACACGTAAAATGCTCACGGAGTCCTTAAAACCCAGCAAATATTTGGTTTTTGTGCCTGAAAAATACAACTGAGACACGATCAATACTCAACCCTTTTTTCCATGAACTGCTTAATTTGTGAGTGATCAATAAAAGTTAAGACTGCACTGACAATAAATGCCCCATTACAATTTTGCACAAGCACTCGAGAAATTAGGGCTCAGCTGGAGTTCTCTGCAGTTGTCCAAATATGATGCTCTTGAATAACAAATAAAGCATGTTGTGAGGTTATGACCGCATTTAAATTTGCTACGGCAAGAGCTCAGAGGACAATCAAAGACTCTTTTGTCCAGCTTAACTAAGCTGGAGAAACAACCACCACGGGAACATCTCCTGCATGCTTATCTAAGATAAAGATCTTTGTCTTCTGTATTACAGTCTATTATTTAATTTGCCACTCATTACATGTCTGCAGCTTTGGCTTTCAATATAAAGCTCCCATCCTTTCTCATAGGCTACAGTCCTTTATGAAACGGAAACCAATCTCCTTATCTTGTAATATTCTTTTCAAGATAACAACCTCTGGTAAATAGAGTCTTATTCCGATGTGCAATGTATATATTGCCAGTAACAACTGCTTCATTTTCATGTTTCATCCTGTTAAACAGAATCCAATATGCTAACGCCGTACTGTGGAGTCCTCCGCAGAAGTATAAGAAGTCTTTTTAATTAATGCTAGCAATCATAATTTTATAGAAAAGGTCCTTTTTCCACAAAAACCCTGTAACAGAAGAAAAAGAAAGACTATGGCCCACCAATGGCCTCCTTATACAAGACCACAAGTCTTTTCCCTCCATCCCAACAACAGCTTCCATTTACCTGCTAATTATTCCTTTAATTTGGGAGTCTTTCTCCACTTGCTGCTGCCGTAGCCTCCTCTCACTGTCCTCGAGACGATTCTGGTACTGTAGGAGGATCTTATTGGTCTGCTGCTCCTGCGTGAGGAGCCTCCGTTCATACTCCTCCAGCTTTTTGTGGGACATCATCAAGCGCTCCTTCAGGGAGTTGATCTCCTCCTCGTACTCCCGTACCTGAGGTAGAGATGTGAAAAGAATGCTAAATTAGAGCAGTTTATTGCGACGCTGGTGCGTACATGCCTTGCTTTCTTGGTCACTGCAGTGCCTGGTGGATTTGAGTTCTCTAAACACATTCATCACAGTTTGAGACCTCTGGACTTCTGTGTCAAGATCAAATCTGAGTGCCATCTGCTCAGAAATGACAGACATAACTCAATGTTCCTCTGACTTCAACTGAAATGTTAATTAAATAGTTAAAAATTAAACCTACCCTATCCATGCGTGACTCATCCATGCTTTTTGAGTACTCCTTAAGTTTGAATTCCTCACGGTCAATCCGAGAACTTTCAATGTCAGCGGACAGATGAGGCATGTTGGAGACCCAGGCCACCGTCCGCTCATTGGCTGGCGTTGGGGGATTGAGGGTAGATGGAGACTGGGAACCCTGGGAAGAAAGGTCAGCACACTGAATATGAGAACATGAATTTTTAATTGAGTGAAAGTCACTTGCATAAATTTGGTGCACGATGTTACCCAAAATGCCTCAGTGCTACACGAGTTCATACATTTTGAGCATGGCTGAGCCCTGGTGGCTCCCAAGCTCTTAATCTTGAATGTCAGTTTTATCCCCTAGATAAGCTAAACACTGACATCTTACACGTTGTTGTTGAGAAATAGCTGTGAGCACAGGTGCTAAAGAAAAAAAAAATAGGAAAGTTAGATATTAGGAGAGTGTGCAGCAGTTACCTGTTTGCTCATAGTGGGTTTGAGCAGGTGCTGCTGTTGCTGAGGCTGCTGCTGTGGTGACTGTTGAGTGCTCTGACTGGTGGTTCCCTGTGGACTCTGGCTTTCCCTGACAGAGCTCTGCTGGTGGGGCAGGCCCGGGGCAGTGTTGTCTTTGACGGAGAGCTGCCGGGGCCCATGCTGCCTGCCGTAGCCGGATTCTGGCGACTGGAGAAGGTTTCCGCTTTGCGGCCTAGTTTTTGCAGGAGCAGAGGGTGCAGCAGCTGCACTGACGGACAGCTGATGGGAGGTCTGGGATTTGACACGCTGGGTGGGAGGCGGAGCAACAGAACTCTGCCGCATAGGTTGGACTGTGGAGGGAGGCGTGGTGGCCAGGGAGGAATGGGAGGTTCCCGTCTGGGAGGCCATGCCCATCATTTGTTGCTGTTGGAGATTATCCTTGAAAAACACGTGAATGATAAATTAACATTTATACTAATTCACTTATCAGATTGGAAAAAAATTCAGTGGGTTGCCACACTCGGGTAAATTGCCTCAAATACTAATGAGACAATAAAATGTAGTAACAGAAGTTCAGTTCGAATGATGAATTGATGTGTTTCAAGCATTTTGAGATTCTGTCAATGAAGGTGATGTAACAGTAGAAACATGGAGCTATTATTCATCTCTTCCACAGTGTGCCTTTTGCCTTGTCTCCCTCGCCTCCCCCCCAACCAGTCACAGCAGATGGCTGCACCTCCCTGAGCCTGGTTCTGCTGGACGTTTCTTCCTGTTAAAAGGGAGTTTTTTATTCCCACTGTTGCTAAAGTGCTTGCTCATAGGGGGTCATTTGATTGTTGGAGTTTTCTCTGTATTATTGTAGTATCTTTAATAATAATAATGTATACTTCATTGATCCCTGTGGGGAAATTCCTCTCTGCATTTAACCCATTCACTGTGAAGCAGTGAATGAAGCACTTTACCTTACAATATTACGCACCTTGAGGTGATCCAGTGCTTTATTCTAGCTCAGTATCTTGCTCAAGCACCCATAGACATACGGACCAGGTGGGCTGAAGATTCATCCACTAACCCTCCAATAAAAGGACAACCCACGTTACCCAATCAAATTCCAGCTTACAGCACCTGGTATCAGCACCAGACACTCAAGGATCCAAGTACTAACCAGGCCTGATTCTGCTTAGCTTCCTAGATTGGATAAAACTGGGAATTGACAGAACCAATGCAGCCCCTTGTTGGATGAGGCCTGCATGGCATTCTAGTTTGATTCAGCTTTTCTGACAGGCAACTTGTGTTTTGGCTTTTTACATTGGTGCTCCTGCAGTGTGATGTGTGATGTAATGTAATGTGATGTAATGCAAAAAGTGAGACACTTTTTCAAGTTTGACCCGGTACGCCATGTTTATGACAGGTTTACGTTGTCCTGGTTAATGTCAAGCTGTCATCACAAAGACATATCAATCAATGTAACTTTGTAATAAAAATGACATCGTGACACTTAATGACAACAATCATAAACATTCACAAAGACTTGTGACTTTGTGACAAGAAGACTTTGTCATGACTTCTTATGATGGCGTCATGTCTTAAGCTCATCCCTAAAAAAAGTGTGTTACCATCACACTAGACAAAGAAAAACTGCAAATCCTCAGAATCAGAATTATATATTATCAATTAATATATATTATATATTCCTAATAAATGTTGGAATAAAGAGATCTTTTTGGTGATTGACTCTTAAAGCTCGGCTCCACTGTCAAAGAAAGGCCCAATTTTTGAGGGTTTCAGTAAACATGTTCAAAAGTTTTTGGGCCTAGTTGATAGTTTCAGGTCTTACTGATCAAAACATGAAGTTCATGTGATGTCTGTTCCCAAAATGCTAAGCTTGCTAAGATGAAAACAGAATATTGCAAATCTATCGGTGACATCACGGTGGCTACGTTGATCTGCGTTATATAAACCGGCCCACATTTTGCTTAACATGTGAACAATTACATATCCACTACATCCCAGGAGAAGATCACAGCGGCATTTTTGAATCATCAGCCTCTCCCAGCCACTGGGCTGGGCTCAGCAATGAATGGTTCCAGTCTTTTTATCAGGTTCTAGAGAAAGCACTGGCACTGCTTCGGAGCAAAAGAGGTATGAAGCATACTCACTGAAGGACTTTCACAACAAATTGATTAGAGTGGAATCAAACAATCTTCTGGAACCAATTTAATTATCAATGATTCATAATTTACTGTTTTCAAGTTAGAAAATCTTTGGCGTTTATTTTAGAGCATTTTGGGATTTTTTACAGTCTGGTTTGTACAAAAGAACTGAAGCTCAGGGTATGAGACTGTGATTATATTTTTTTAATCAATGTCTATAACATTGTTCCTTTTTTATCCTTGGTGCATAATGAAAATACTAATTCAACATCTATAGTAATACCATTTCACATGTAAACATTATTACATAGCGAATTTATGACATTACAGAAATACAGTGAGAGTCCATTTACCTGCATATGCATGGACATCTGCCTGCGTCCATAGTCAGCCCTGCTGTAGTCGTCACTGTAGCTATGTGAGTGGATGATGCTGGGTTGTCCCAGGTGACCGTCCCTGGTCCTGAGGGTGGACAGATCCTCACTGCGAGAGAACCCTCCATGGGCGAACTGTGGGATGTAGGACTGGTGAGAGGGTTCGGGCTCTGGGGCCAGGAGAAGGGGTGCGGGGGGTTGAGCCCGGCTGTGCTGGTGATGGAGCTGTTGCTGTTGAGGCCCATCAGCAGTCGCCAGATGAAAGAGGGGATTCTGGAAGGAAAGCGGGTAGCGCATGGCGGCGGCCTGCTGTTGCTGCTGCTGGGATAGCGAGTCGGTGGTGGTGCCCATCTGGCTCAGCTGGCTCAGCCGGAGGCCACCGGACATGCTGGAGCCGCCAGAGCCAGCTGACAACCTCCCACCGGCCCGCAGCTGGCTGCTCAGGCCCGACCCCAGGCCGCCACCGCCTCCGCTGCTCAGCCCGCCGAAGCTGCCCATACCGGCGATGGAGGCCTGGGAGGAGTTGAGCATGTCCACCGACTGCAGGTTAGACACGCTGTTCATTCGGGAATCCTGGAGGTCCATCATAGATACGCTTTTATTGACACTGAGCACCTAAATAATAAGGGATATGAGAGGCTAGTGTGCCCCCTGTTATTGCTTATGTTAGGTGGCCACGGATGATGGGTGAGGGTGGTGCGGGTGTTTTTACCGCGAGGCCTGCCTGGTTATCGGAATGCATCAAAGTATTTCCCAGGAAATACCGCTAGGATGAGTTGCGTGGTGAATCAGTGGGAAAAAAGCAGATGTCATGATATACTAGAGCCTCGATCACACGATGGCAGATTCTTACAGTATGACCAACATGCACGTCATACTAATCTCACCTTGATAAAGGTAAACCTAGCGGATGGGATGGTGATTCCCCGAGTCAGTGTGGTAAAACTCACCTTAGGATCAGGTTCTGTGATATCCGAGCTGCTCGTGCAGTACGCTGGGCTGGATCGGGCCAGGGGAGGGCGTGATACGTAAAACATGTCTTTGGAGGATGCTCGATGAGGATGGTCACGGTCCTGAAAACTCATCTGGGTACGAGATGGCATGACCCCTCCGGTGGATGTAGGGGAAGGCAAACGGGTGATATCTATAGAGCTGGAGAACAGCAGAAACAGGAGGTGAGGAGTCTAACAAACTCTACACTCTTCCCCTATGAACAGTTTATTTAGACACTATATTACTATATTATTATGATTGCAAGTTGAAAGCTAAATACAACAGCACTGGAAGAAGCATCTGAATCGTTTCTTCAGTTGGTTAAAATCAAGACTGAATGCTTCATCTGTTATTAAACTAGGATGTATCACGTTATCAGGCTTCTATCTATAGCTAAATTCAATGTAACAAGCAAATGTGCGGTGTGTGGAAAGAGCTAGAAGGTCCTTGAACATAGGTACGCTGCCACAATTACATAAACATGAATTAAATATCTTCTCCATCTCGCTCTGGTCATGCCGACTATTTTTACCCAGTTTTATGCAGTGTTAAGATAAGTTCAGTGGTTCTGAACATAAAGCTGAAATCCCCTCTATAGAGTCACTGGAACAATCGGAAGTGGATTAATCTGATTAAAATTACGAGTAAGAGGGTAGGGGAAAGTTCTGCTGCAAAAATCTGTATTTTCTTCCTCTAATTTTAGGCTTTTGGAAAAACTTTGTTGGAGGTTGTTACCTTAAAATGTTATTTAAATGAAACCTTAGTAAGATGTCTCTCTGAGGAGATCTAGGCAACCGAAAGTTGCCATGTGGCACTAGACAGAAAAAACAAGGCTGCATGCAAAAAGGTTCAAGGCCAATTTTCTTAAGCAGCGCTCTGCATTTTTAAATAATGACACAGCTTTTTCATTGAAAAAAAATTAGCTAAAAAAACAAATCTCCAGCTGTTACATAAATGTAGTGCAGAAAAAAGAGCCACATCTCCCGTAGTATTTTTACCTACTACTGCACAACAAGGAGAAAAGAAGCATTTGTTGAAAGACTTTTTCAAATATGCACTGCAGCCCCAAACTTTCCTAGACTTCACTTGGCAATGGTAACCACAAGAAGGCAAATGTAAGATGCAGTCAGATGATGGATGTCCTTTGCAAAAGTATTTCCAGTAGTGGGAAACTGCATCACTTAAAAAGAACATCTTCTGGATTTTATTCTCTTGACACTCTGTGAAAACAACTCAGGTTTCAGCGTTTGAAACTGTTTAAAGTCTCAAATGTTCCTACCTATTAAGATCCCTCATCATGAGATTTTGGAACTCAGAAGAGATGCCCCTGTTGAAGCTGGGCCGTGACAGCAGCCTGTCCGACTGTCTCCCGGGCTCTCTGTCTGTCTGATGGCTGGGCTGCCTCTGGAGGTGTGGGTTACGCAAGGCCATGCTGATGTCATTCAGGAGACGAGGCAAAGGACCCAGTTTGATGATGGCATCCTGTGGTTGGAGGGAAAACAAAAAGAAATGGCACTTTAGCTACATATTCATTAAAAACATTTTTGTGTAATCTAATGTAAGTGTTTTTCAGTACGTCCATCTCATTCACCACGCACTGGAAATGTAATCACATGGAGTCTGATTTTGTGAAACATTTGAGGTGAGAGAACAACAAGACATTTTTTTTAGATGCAGCTTTTAAAATCCTAAAACTACACATCGAATCTCAGCACAGCTTAGTCTGGCTGCACAATGTAAGCGATGTACTGTGTTATCAGAATGTTATCAACTGAACTCTGGCAATTCAATTTAAACTGTAATTATGTTTAGTTTTTAGTTTTACTTCACTTATTTTATGACATTATTTCACTTGCATGTGAGAAAGTAAAACGTTGTTTTCCAGTTCCAGAGCAGCATGATTAGGAATGCAGCAGTATTATTACATATGAAACGACTACTTTGATGACTATAGTAGGTTAAATTCAGGATACTGTAGCGATAAATAACCCACTGTGGATTTTTTTGACGTATCATTTGATTTTTACCAGTATGGTTGCAGTTTATAACAACAGATATGATGCTTTGTGTTTACCTTGCTGAGTTGAGCCATGACCTCCCAGAGGAGACTGTGCAGTATAGACAGCTCCCTGCCCAGGTCGATGTAGCCCTCAAAAGCGCCTGCATTGCTGACACTGTCCAGGTTGGAGATCTCGTAGAGGAACTGCTGCATGGAGCCCCACTCCATTTCTAAAAACTCATTCATGAAACACATGTACTCCTCTTTGCTTCCAAACCTGCAGGTGGGAACAGACAGAACAGGGCGGGGAGGACATATGTGTGTGACAGGGAAAGTGGTAGAAAAAGAACTGAAAAATATTTTAGCAGGGAAATTAAATTGTAGCTACACTCATAATCTTTGATTTAATAATAGTTTTTTCAAATAAATGTCATTAATTTAAACTGTTTTTGTATTAAAGCTCAAATTTTTAATAGTTTTGGGCACTGTAAAGAAGAAATATCAAACAATTAAATGCATAAATTCATTTATTTGTTTTTGTCATTGATGGTCAGCTTTTTTCCTTCCCTAAATACATGGATTAAAAAAACAGAATTCTTTTCATAAAGCTAAATATATGAATGAAATGAAATAAAACTGACTTGGAGAAGTTAGCCAGGTTTTGCACTACTTTAGCGATGAGGGTGAGTGTGCGTGATGTCTGCTCATCTGGATACTCCTGGGTGAGGTTGAAAAGCGATGGCGACATGATAGCAGGACACAGGAAGCGCAGGAAAAGAGAACCGCTGATGAGGCGGTCAGCGATGTCTTCTCGACCCCTCTCAGCACAGCGCACTCGCCAGGAGGCAAAGACTTCCTTCAGCTCTCGAGGGAACACACTATAAAGCAACATAAAAGGTTTCAGGACAAACTAGGTACATTTAGATATTCCACCGAGAAGCTGTTTAAAAGCCTCATCTATCTTTATTATAGCGAAGAGAAACAAACACAGTCTAGTAAAGGAGTTGCTTTTTTTTGCATTATTAACTACTCACCAATGGGAATTAACAATCTTGCAGAGTGCCAATTCACAGCACATTCGAAGATTGGCTTGGTGGTCTGGTAATACAGAGGGTGGTATTCTCATGGGGTCAACTTCACAATTTTCTTCTGACTCATACAAGGCCCTTATGAACTCCCCTGCAAGAGACATTTCATTAGCAACAAGTTTCAGTGTTATTAATAACGAAAACAACATCCACAACAAGATTAATATGAAAGAAATCAATTATGAGACAACAAACCGAGCATTGCCACACTACCACACTATGCTGTTTAAGTAGTCGTAGGTGAGGAGCTGTCTTATTGGCTAACAGCAAATTACAACAGTAGTTACTTTTAGCTCAAAGTATTTTCATACCAATATAGCATATAAAAAACAATTCTCAGAAATGGACTGCTGAGCAGAATTCACTGCACTGTAGTATTATTATTACGAGCACTTAGCACTTACTGGAAATCTCTGGAGAAACTGTCTGTCCCTTTACACTCCTATGCACTACTTTTATGAACACCAAAGCATTAAATGCACTCAGTGTTAGAAAATTAAGAGACAACTTTACTGAGAAACAACTGAGAAACTGTTTGTCACGGTACTGAGGCCCAGGGTTTAAGTTCTAATGCATATTTTTGTGTCCACATGTGTAGTTTAACACATCTAGTTGTTTTCTAGTTTGCAGTTTAGTCCTTGGTTTCTTAGTCCCTTTTGTCATCTCCCCCTGGTCTGTGTGTCTACCTGTCGTGTTTCATGTCTCTTGTTAGGTTAAGTTCATGTTCTATCTCCATGTCTCTGTGTTTCCTGTTTTATTTTGAAAGAGTACGGGGTTCTTTGTTCATTGTAGTTAGTGTTACTCTCCCCTGTATTGTCATTATGTTTCCTTCTAGTCAGCTGTGTTCTCATGTGTCTCCACTTCCCCTGATCACCTCATGTGTGTATTTAAGTCCTCAGTCTTCCTTTGTTCGTCGCCGCGTCGTCTGTTCTACTTCCCCCATGTTACGCCAGGTTTCAGGGCTCTGTGCTGGTCATGTCCATGTCGCTTATGTGAATACGTTTCATAGTTCTTTGTTGTTCCAGCACAGAGTCCTGTTCATAGTTGTCTCCGTCATGTGCATCATTGTCACCCTGTCTTAGCCTTCCCTGCTGTCTGAGTTAAGTGTCAGTTCTTAGTTTTCCCAGTTCAGTTTCTAGTTTAGTTTTGCCTCAGTGTTTTCTGTTGTTTGCCACGTTAATCATCCCAAATAAAGGCTCGCTTTTCGTTTCAAGTTCGGTACTGTCTCCTCGTCTGTGTCTGCACCTGGAACCTCACACTCCGCCCACCGCAGACCGTGACACTGTTTATGTTATCCTATATATTATTGTTTACTTGGAGTTAGCTTACCTTTATTTAACTTTTATTTTATGCTGTTTTTTACCCACCTTTTTAAATTTGATAAAGTTTAAGTTTAATTAGGGCTTAAAGTTATGAAATATTAGATGGACTGTGTTATTTATTGTATTAATTGCCCATTTAATGTGTCTGTAGCATTATTGAATGAAATGATAGTATTTTATTTGTATGTTACTTATTATTATTTCAAAGTACATCCTGATAATGAAGCCAGCTGGTGTACACTGATCACTTTATTCCACCCTCTTATCTAAATATGATCACTTTTAGCCTGTTAAAACCAAATGGCCACTGCCATGAAGCTCAAGTTGTCCATAAGACACTGAAGTCTTCATGTTCATCCTACAATCCAGAATAATGATGGCTGAATACAATTATGTTAAATAAGTTCTCGATTTCGTATGAACTCAAGCAAACATTCATTAATGAAACCAGGCTAACGATAACAACATATCGAGCTCGTTGCTTCCTCTCAGGAAGTCGTATTTCTCGCCTTTTGAGGAGAGCTGCTTCTTGATCTCACCGCCAACAGACTTGTGCTGAGCTCGGATAATCACATAATTCAATATATCATCAAACTCCACACAGCAGTGCAAAAAAGACACAAGTTTGAGTACCACGAATAAGTTGAAAAATAATAAAATTCCCCACACCCAACCAAACTATCTTCTGCATGCAAAAACACTAAGGCATGCTGAGAGAAAGTTGGGTCTCTTAAGTAGGATTTTTCCCCCCTTTAATTAAAAGTTTGGCTATTTCCCAACTTTCAAAAGTTGATCTGCTGAATTTTAAATTGGTTTGAACACATGAGCGACTAAGTCAAACACTGCAAACGCTCCGACTCACCTATAGCATCCTTGAGGTACTTATGTCCAATCAGTTTGAGGTACTCTTCTATGGCTTTGGTGGCCAGAGTGTTCTCTCTGAAGATAAGGTGTTCTCGGTCGATGAATCTGTCTACCTCACACATTGCCATGTCCGATAGAAAATCCTGGAGAAAAGGGGAACCGAGTTACTATTTTCCTCCTAAAATAGTGTTTGTCAAGTAGAGGACTCAGTGATCCCATACCTTAGCTTTCCCTGTGCTCTGAAGTATATGCACCAGAGCACAGGCCACTTCCTCTTTGCTCTTGACACTCAGCACAGGCTCCAGCACAGCACACAGGGTGCGGTAGTTATTAGTGACATACTCTGCAAACTCCTTATACAGCTCCATGGGCAGGATGTTCATGGTCTGAAAGCGGGATTTGAGGCGTAGAGATGCATTGATGATCTTCCCTCCTCCGACACCAGCTCCCTTGGTGAGAACGCTGGGCTGGATGACCGGGTACCACTGCTCCACAAACTGACGTCCAGTGATGCTTGAGATGGGGATGCTTACGAGTCCTAAGTATGTGCTCTTTTCCTTAGACGTGAAAAGCAAAAACAAACATTAGCTGTGGTAAAGAAACATTGTTTCTTTCAGTTCTGCAGAGAAATATTTTAGAAAACTAATCTGAAAGTCGGAAATGTCAAAAAAAAGTTCATTTTAAGCTTCAGCAATGAATTAATTATGAGCAGCAGGACTAACGCTGGATCCCCGGAGTGCTGTTTGAAGCTAGAGCTTTACTGTGGCAGCGTTACTCTTGTACTGAGCTGAAAATGAGAATGACTGGTTTTGTGACTCAGTATTAAGTCACCTACTTCTTAAGTGCTAATGTTACACCTCACAGTATTACTCATGCATTTGCTTTATCTTTTAAATTGAAGTGTTTTCACTTTTAGTAAGAATCTACCCTGTCACCACAGGTGATTACCTCTTTACCTGTGGTATACCCCAAGGTTCAGTTTTAGGTCCTGCTATATTTTCTATCATATGCTTCTACCAGCTCTTAGTACTGTGCAGCAGATACACAGATATACCTTGCTGGAGACCTCTTGACCCTAAAAGCATAGTTGCTTTTTCAGTTTCACCTCTGTAGCACTGACTGCTCCATAAATAACATGACATCTCAGTCCTACGAACCCATTGTAAAGCCCACTAACAGACATTTGGAAATACCATTTGATTCAGCTTTGAAGCACACATCGAGAGCAGCTGTTCAGATCTGTCTGCATCTCAAAAATAAAACCAATGCTCTCACACAATTCATGCATTTATTTTCTCATGGCTGGACTACTTCATTATAACTATTGCATTTAGTTTATCCTGATTTTGCTTTGCTTTGTTATTAATGATGTTATATAAATAAAGCTAGTATAATTAATGTTGTTGATGTAGATATGATAATAAGAAAATAAAAAAATAAGTCGATAAAATTCAACTTTAGGATATTTCAATTGTATTCGTTTCAACAACTTTAAGTTAATATAAATGACTCATTTTCAGACCTTTATGCTACCCTACAGTTCTCTGTGTCACCTTGCGTCTCTTCTTGTCTGTCTCCTTGTATAGATGAAGGCGTAGGTTGCGGACAGCTGGCAGGTTGTTGAATTCAAAGTGCTCGCCCCAGAAAACGGTGTCGGTGCGGGGCTTGCTGGTGGTGCGTGCATACAGCATGTCGTCCAAACATAGTTCGCAGTAGTATCGTTTCTTTGCTGGAAGCTCGCGGGCCTCTATGATCCACAGTTTGAGCACATTGTCCACCCTCCGGCTGTTGTCCTGTGTGGAGAGAAAGTCAGGTCAAACAAGGTCAAGCATGTCTGATAAAACATTTAAAAGCTTTACAAAGACAAGATGATACAATGCAGGAGGAAACATGACAGACGGCAAAGAAAAAAAGACGTGGAAGCAGAGAGAGTGTGTGCAAATAAAAGGCGACAGCAGGTCAGCCTGCAGGAGAAAAGAGTAAATGACAGGAAATAAATGGCTGGTGACATGGCGGTTTGGCTACTATGATAGTGGGTTGTACTTGATAAATTGCTCTCAACTCTCATCTTGGATACAGAGACAGAAAACAGCATGAGAAACACACAAGAGAAAGAGAACAGAAAATAATGAAGAATGATTCTTTTTATGGATAAAACAAAGTAATCCCCTTAGACATAGAAAAAACACAAATGACACAATACACATGTGCTGCAAACACAATGGACTAAAAATGCTCCTATGGACTGCTACATTCCCTAATCATGATCACAAAGCCCAGCTATATTTGACATCCCCCATGGGAGGAGAGAGTGCTCTGTTGATTACAGAATGATGTTTCAGTAACTGGGAGTCATTTCAATTGGGCTCAAATGCCACTGTTGATGGCCCCCCTGTTTGCTTCAGACTATTTAAGTCCTAATTTAGACGGCCAAATACGTGAGCATCATCAAGATCAACAGCTCTAACGTCTCCATTTGTATGCTCTTTGATAACCAGCGCCAAACACAAGGCATAATTAATTCCAGACCTCTGAGTTTGAATGTGCTGGGCATCTGGTGGCTCAGTTTGCTAGTGCACATACAGTGCAGCAGAGCCAGCATGCGCTCAAGTCCTCCACCTTGATATTATGTTACACATTCCCTTTTGCCAGTATTTTTCAATTGTATTACCAAAAGACTAGTGGAATGTTAAATTAAGGTGTAATAAATACTTTTTTCCTGAAAACCAAGCAATCACGGGCAAAAAAGGGAATTAAAAAACTCTAGAAAATTACAAAGAATAATGATAATCCTTCTCTCTGCAGTTAGTCTTATCGCTTATGGTGCATCTGGTCTGAGAAGAAGAGTGCGTGTTGTTTTGGGGGAGTAGGAGGAGAGATTTTGGAGAAAGCGCCTGTTTGGAGTCCTTGGAGCTCCGTGACTCAGCCAGGACCCCTGCGGCCGCAGCATCTGGACGAGGCGTTCAACTCTGGTGATGTTTCATCTCAGTCTCGCTTAATAACCCTTTAGTCTCTGGTTGCCATCTAAGCTGCGTATCTCACATGTCTGCTCACTTTTAACAACACTGAGGGGAAAAATTTAGGGAGAGTTTTACTTTACGATGGAATTTGGATTAAAATTAGGATATTAATTATATATGGAGCGAGCATGAAGGGCGATAAGTCTTTTTTAAGATGTGAAGACGCAAATAACATTATTATAGTACCTTAAAGCGACACTGGAAACGACTTTCCATATGAAAATACACCATCTTGTAGTGTTTAAAAAATACAAGTATATCATCTGCAAAAACTGGTGTCAGATACAAGCACATGGAAAATGAACCTCATGTTAAAACAACATCATGCATTTAATTAAATTGCTTGATTTAACCTCATAAATGTGTCTGTTGTCCTGTCTTCCTCCTTCACAGACGGCTGCTCCTCCCTGAGCCTAGTTCTGCTGGACGTTTCTTCCTTTTAAAGGGACGTTTTTCATTCCCACTGTTGCCAAGTGCTTGCTCATAAGGGGTCATTTGATTGTTGGGGGTTTTACCTTACAATATAGAGTGCCTTGTTGTTGTGATTTGACGCTATATAAATAAAAGTTGTATTGAATTTTTCAGGTTCACAAAATAAATGATTATTAGCATAATCAGTCCTGTAGTGGTTAATACATGTTTTGAGATCAGGAGGAGATATATAAAGTGCAGCATCCACAGTAAAATATGAGGCTCCATCCATTGTAGCAACTAACCATGACCAGTGCCCCGAAAATTGACTTTTACTAGCAAGTCTGCCTGCACTGCTTATATTTTCCAAAGGAAAATAAAGGCAGACAACGTTCTCCATAGATGCAATAATGATATAGTCTTAATCAAATATTAATTTGGGAAAGTTGCCTGTCTTACTTATGATAATTTTATGATTAGACAATCCGATTTCAGGTCCAACAAGTGGGGTTTGCTCTGACAACAAGTCTGGACCACTTGAGAAAAACTACCCATAGATTTTTACTGCCACAAATTGTCTTGTGGTTCTTGCATGAGGCCCATTGTCTGTAGAGAGCAACAATAAAAGACCTAGACTCACGAGTGTTAAATCTTTTACTTCCCTATCAAAGTATCACAGACATGCTGTGCAGGTAAACATCAACCCGCTGTGTTCAATTTACTTATCACATTACCTGATTTGTGGTTTTTCAAAACAGCATTTTGGGTCCTCCCACCATCGACATTACCTTGTGCAGCTTTAATATTTTGCTTGTAGAAGCCACTAAATTGTTCAACACAGACACACACAGACACGAGGATGGAGTTCACACAGAGAAATGAAGCGGTGCGCTCTTATTGAAAACACACAACAACGGGAGACGGGGAGGAGAGAGAGAGACACACAGACAGAGGGATCATCCTTTTTTCTTCCTCTACCGCATCCCTTTCTCTCCCCTCACCTTGTTGGGCTTGACAGCTCTCTGCAGGTTCTCGATCCATTTGTCTCTCTCTGCAGCTGAGCGACACGCAAAGCACTTGGTTCCCGATGCCGTAGTCACCTGAGGTTAGCCAATGGTAAATTCAACAACCACAGCCATTAGTCACTATGGAGACTGCAACTAAAGCGCCAAAATAATGACTTGTATTCACTCTCAACCTCTGTCATGTTCCACTAATGAACAGGTGATGGAAAAGCTGAGAGGACTTAGGCTCATTTAAATGTCCTTATTTTCATTTTCACATTTAAAAAGAAAAGAAAAAAAGCAATCCTATTTGCATTGCACATCACTTTCACTTGTCAGGGTGGAAACAACAGTTTTAGTGTCATTTACTGCTCTGTACACTCTGTGGTTGTGTGCGAGTGTGCCGTGGGCTGTCCGCTGAGCAGCTCAGTTCTCACCTCAAAGCAGTACTCCTGTCCCAGGATGCTCGAGTGCACAGGTTTGATGATAGCGTCCTCGTCCAGAGTGAGGTCCAGGGCCTCAGCGGCACTGCTGGGAGAAAGCAGGGACTCATGGGAGTGGGACTCTTTGAAGCTCTGCATCAAACGGGTCCTGGGAGAGCGAGAGTCGTGAGAGTGAGGAGAGTGAGGAGGCTCTTTTATTAAAGGTCGCTTAGACTTCAGTATTCAAGAAACTACAGGTGATTTCTTCTTGTATGCTAATTCTCCAAATGTGTTGCTTCACATTTTCATCTTTATCTTGCATACTGAAAAACAGCCAAACGAGTGCTACACAACATACTGATAATTTTGGTAATAAGCAGCTTATCAACACATTCATCCATTCTGTTAATCATTTATCAGGGTCACAGGGGGACTGGGGCTTATCCCAGCTGTGATTGGACGAGAGATGGCGCACACCCTGTACAGGTCATCAGCCTGTTGCAGGGCTATCACACAGAGACAGACAATCATTCACGCTCATCTGTGGCCAATTTAGAATCACAAATTAACCTAACACGTCCTTGGTATGTGGAAGGAAATCAGGGTACCCCAAAAGAAGCCATGCAAACATGAAAACTCCACACAGAAAGGTCTCCTTTTCTGTGGTCCTGGCTAGCTGGGGTCCTCCTGTGTGGAGTTTTCATTGTCTCCCTGTACCTGGGTGGGTTCTCTCTAAATCTCCTCCCATATATATGTTTGCCAGGTTACTGATAGGCTGGTTAGATAACTGAGTACCCAAAGCATTTTTGTACAACTTGCCTCATTCTCCCATTCATACATTACTTATTCTATGTAAGTGCTTCCTGTCTAACATTCACATTCTGATGGATGCATCAGAGACTGGAGCAGACAGGGATTAGTAGGGGACCTGCTCTACCTTCTGAGCGAGCCCATTTGTGTGCTAGTCCTGTGACAGGTATGTACCTACCCCACCTCTGCCCCACTAATAGCTGGGACAGGCACCAGCCCCACCCAACTGCTTATCAGCAGATCATTTACAAATATATATCAAATATATATCATCATGCTATGGTTTACATATACAGGTGGCCACTTTAACATTTTCTTACACAGCATAATTATAAGAATAGGATCTTTTTGATACGCCTCTCAACACTGATCTACTGTGGCACCTACACATAACAGCTAACCTAGCAAAAAAACAACAATTTTAAATTGTTTAGTTAGGCACTTTGTTACTATCAGCCTGTCTCGAAAGGACATAATCTGTTCCCAAGAGTTGGCAGTTCGTCTTGTAATCGGAAGGTTGCTGGTTCGAGCCCCGGCTCGGACCGTCTCTGTCGTCATGTCCTTGGGCAAGACACTTCACCCGTTGCCTACTGGTGGTGGTCAGAGGGCCCGGTGGCGCCAGTGTTCGGCAGCCTCGCCTCTGTTAGTGAGCCCCAGGGCGGCTGTGGCTACAATGTAGCTGCCATACAAATACAGGCCATTTACCATTTCTTTAGTTGAGCCTCTAAAAGATGCCAACACAGTTTGACAGGAATAAAACTGTATTTTTGCACCAACAAGGTGATTCCCACAAAGGTAATAATTTAAAAGCAAGACTCAAGACTTTTGCACAGTGCTGTAAATAGATGCTTAAGTGAGCAACTACACACGACCAAGCTTAAATGGTTTTCTTTACAGCTGCATTTATGGCATTTATCCAAAACATTTTAAATAACCAATTAAACAATTCTTAATAAATCATTAATCCTGACACACCTGTGCTCACAGCCCACACTAACAAGCAAAGGAGGTCTGTGCTAAAGCCCATTCATCATCACCTACTCCCACCCACACACACATGTAGAGAAGCAGGTAAAAATCACAGACCAACTCAGGAAACAGCCACACAGCCACTGAAACAAAGACACGATGGCACAGTGAGTCTAACCAGATAGCCAGGACAGATGGTCAGGTGTGATGAAGCCCTTCAGAGAAGAAAGGGGGACGGTAGATTAGGAAAAAGGAAAGATAGAAAAGAAGCTGTATATCCTGCGCTCTGCGTCCGGTTCTTGGCTTCTCCCCTGTTTGGGCTCAAACTGTTTTTGTCTATGTTCAATCATAACGTTCCACAACAGAGCAGTGATTGCATGTACGGGACTGAGGGGGAGAGAAACATAGAGAGTGAGGAGGGAGAGATAAAAATAGACCCAAAGGAATGAGTCAGATTGAGGGTACCATAGAAGAGATGAGAGAAAGAGTGGGGGAGGTCAGGAGAGGATGTGAGAGAAGGAAAGACTGAGAGAGAAAGGGCTGAGGCCTCGGGGATGGAGGGAGAAGACCTCTCAGTGGAAATCATGTTGATTATGTAAACAGTGGATCCTTTGGAGAGGAAGAAAGTGAGAGTATGGATTAGAGGAATGAAAGAGAAAGGGAAAGGAGGAAGCGCAAGGGTCGGGATGGATGAAGGGATTGAGATGAGAGGAGGAGTGATGGAGGTAAAAAGGAGGTCTATGCAAGGTCTCAGTGGACAGACATAAAAGACGAAACACACACACACACATGCATGCAGACACCTTGCAAATAGTCAGTGCATCACAACTGATGAACTACACACCTGGAAAAAAAAACTCAGGGATGAAAGACTAGGAACAAGGATACTGACATTGGGAAGGTGAGCTGAGCTTTGCTGTAGTGATCTAAAAGAGAACAAACCTGACAACAACCACTTTGCAAAGAAAAGCAACTGAACTGAAGCCACTTTTCAATTTCAAATACTAATTAAGCTCAAGACCCATTTCACTGAATTTGCTGCTTTTGTCTTTTATTAAACTGAAACAAAATGATTGTTGATCAATAAGGTTAGACAAACAGTGGCAAAATACAAACTGAACAGGCTAATAGTCAAACTGGGTTGTTTGTCTCATAATTACTTATTAGTAATAAAACTTAAGCCTAAGCAACGGCTCTATTTTTTCTTCCAGGTAAGCCTCCCATTTCTATGAAACAACATTTAATATGTATTTATTGGTTTATTTTTCTAATTCGTAAGAGCAGGAAGGCAAGTATTCTAAAGAGAAGTGCTTCTTTACAGACATTATATAGACATACACTAGATGCTTCATTGGTTACTGCTATTTAAAGATGCATCAGCATATTGCAACTGCCATATTTTTACTGGGTCTTCTAATGTGTGTAACTCTATGCACTTGCCAATTAAATATAGTCATAACTCAGTGAAGTTTGCACAGATATTCTGTGGAGTTTTGGCTTGTTACATATGCTACAACTGCATTTATTCTTGTTTAAGTTTAAAAATGCAAATTTTCATAACACAACACTTATCTTGTGTTGACTGTAATCACAACAGTCCAGTAATATTATGTTAAAAAATGTTCTACTACTCTGCAGCTGCTTTTTGTGATGTTCTACTATAAAAAAATAAATAGTGTAAACAGTAAAAACTGAAAGGACTGCTCTCATAATTTTTGTAAATGTTGCTGTCCAGTCCTGCCAAGTTTTGATTTGAACTTAAAGCTACAGATGAGCAATGTAACTGCTTCTCCTCAGTGCTGATGTCCATGCTTAAACACAAAAATAGGTGAGTCTGGACAAGGGTTTACAACACTTAATGTAACTGCAACCTCAAAATCAGCTACAAACTTACCAGTTATTGCACATTTTGCTTCTCACTCCTGATATATATGTAATAAATAAGTACTTAAGTAAATGCAGTAATAGGTAAAAACTATAAAATACTGTAAAACAACCTTTCAACAGAAGTGTTTGTCCTTTTCTAGAAGCATTTCTTTCATTAAAACTTAAACTGAAAGAAAATCCTTGTATTTTACGCAGGGCTGGATCAGAATCCACAGTCAGACCAGCACCCCAGAGGAGCATCTACATGCATATATGTACAGACAATTCTGAAAACATTTAGGGTAGATGTTGGCACAAGTAATGTGGGGTCATGTCAGCGTCTATTGCATCTTAATAGAGAACTTAATGATGGTTCTACAGAAAAAGGCAGCATGTCTCCAAAGATATTAGATTAAATCATTGGGAGGTACAATGTTTGAGATAAAATGTCATGCTATTTAAGAACTGCGATATTCTAGTGTGAAACAAAGAGACATCCCTTGTGCTACATCATGAATATTACTAATAAAAAAGTTTACAGGGTGTGGCTTCGGTAGTGCAAAGACTTCTTTTCTGTTTCCTGTTTTTGATGTTGAATACATTTGTGTTTATAATTCTTTGGCAGACAAAAAAGCTATCTCATTACATTATTTAGGCTAAAGATACGCTAATGATGAAGACTTCCACAATTTGAAACCTCAAATATATTAAACAGCTTTAAGAAAAACAAACAAACAAACAAAAAAAACAACGTTATTTTTCTGCAAGACAGAGTACCCTCTGCGACTACACAGAGTAATCCTATGGGCTACTTATGCTGAAAAATCTGAATGGACTGAAAGATCTGTTAAGTTTGGCTTATTAGTGGGAAGAATACAAAAATTATGTGCAAATATGTGCATCGTTGCAGCTTTTAGAGCCTGTTTGGGAGCTCAGATGCACATTTATGCCTGCATGAAATCCAATCCATGCTGAAAAGAAAAGCAAGCCCTCCTTGGATAAACAAACATAAAAAAAAAATGGAATACAAATGAACAAAGCTGCAGATGTTCACCAGCACCCCTGACAGAAAACACTCAGAGCAAACCAGGAGCTGTGAAAGACGATGGATCAGCCACGAGGGCCTTGGCAAACAACCACGACTTCACATCGCTCTTGACTTTTTTGTCCGTTCAGTCTTCTCAAGTCAGCCGGGGATAATAGACATCCACAAGCTTCCCAAATGAATAAATCATGTGGAAACACACCTTGGCAGACACCTGGCTCTGCAAAGGTGTTAGCACTCTCCTGAGTGTGCTCTTGCCCTCTGTTTGGATTATACAACTGACCTTCACATTTGAAGTTTAAGTTTGCCCTGGGTCTAACTGTCCAGTGGAAGAATACAGAAAAAGTGAATGGACCAAATGAATGCTGAATCAGTCAGTTCATAGATGGTCATTCATTTTCTGTAAGTATTTTGATTTACTGTTCACTGGGGATGGATTTTAAATATTCAAAGAGTCTGTCATAATTAAAATCAAATGGTTTTGTAGATGCATTTTCTCTTGTTTTTATTGATGGCAGGTACTAGATAATGATACTAAATACTGCCAGAAGGTGGCATTAATGAAACGGGGAGTTTAAAAACATGTAAAACAGAGGAACACTTGACAAAATACCAGATGCTGGTTTTTAAAAACTTGCAGCACAGTAAGAGGAGATGATACTGTAAGCAAGAACTGGAGAAATGTGACAATGAAATTCACAGCTGCTAGAAAAGAGAGGAGGGTGAGTCCTGGGTGCAATCTTTGAGAACATTCGAATAGTTCCTGCTGAATACTGAACAGTATTTTTGCTCAACTCAGTTGTGCACATCAGGCTTTTCAGTTAAAAAAAATGCTGCTTGTCTCCATTTTATGTTTGCACTGAAATGTTTTTGGGATATTGTTTTGCTTTTGGACAAAACAAGCTAGAAGATGTCTGTCACAGTGGACTTTAGACATCTCCGAGAAGAACGCAGAGCTTAATCTACGAAATTATCAGCAGTTATCATTAATGAAAATACAGAAATAGGTTGCAGCCCTTAGCTAAATGCTTTGGATCCTTGCTGTTTACAGGCTGCTTGAAATTAGGCTCAAAACCTTGCACAGTTCCTCATTTATGTTTCTCATATTTGACAAACTAAAAAAATCTGAAGATTTTTGCACTCGAACATCGGTCATGCAACTCCTGTGTTACTGTGTCTGAAGAATTCCAGCACTGCTGCAACTATGTAGATGATACAGAGGAGGTATAATTAAGCAAATCTCCCACTGACTCATTATGGTCTGTACAGCCGCCATATGGCTGTCTGCTGGTTGCTATGGTGAAGCGGGGGATGTTTTTTCATCGGCTCAGCAGAGAAATAGTGAGTGCTGAGTGCAAGCAACAATGCAGTGAGAGAGTAAAATAAACTTAGGACTGTGATAGACATATAAAGGATTACAGAGACGGAGATTAGGCCATACACAGAGAAAGCTGATGCCAAGATACAGATAGAAAGCCAGAGACTGAGCTACTGATAGTGATAGATAAAAAGATTAATGGAGGCAGAGATGACAAGATGGAAAAGAATCAAAAGATGAGATAAAAGACGATAAAGATAGAAATCCATGGAAGCATGCTGATATAGATAGACCCTAATAAATAAATAAATAAATAAAATCTCCCCTTCTAGGCCATCTCTGTGGGTAGAGGTGGCATTGCTTTCACACCAGGCTCCTATTTCTAGAGCGCTCCTTGGAACCACAGAGACCCAATAACTTTTGAGCAACTGAATCTGCTCTGGTAAGCCAAAACACTGACCCTTTAAATTGAATTTATTTTAGGGGATTAAGCAGCAGAGAGTGAAGTATAGCACGGATGTGTGATGAGACTTTTGTGCTGTATGGTTTAAAAAAGGTTTTCAAAAAACCCTGTGTGAGTCGTTAGCAGCAAATGCTCTCTGTCCGCAGCTTCAGGATGTCACAACAGCACTATGAGCTGACAAACTGGGTATGGTGGCAAAATTTAGGGTATACAACCTCATGATACAACGTCATGATACAACCTCATGAATGCGGAAAAGAAAACTGACAAGCACACTTGGTTTTGATGCACTGCCTTTAGGCTAGGACACTGCAGACTTGTCCACTCAGTACTGCTGTTTTGACTGAAACTGAGGGATGTAGCACACTCATACAGTAGTGACTTGACAATAACAAGGTAGCCCTGCCCTAAAACTTACCATGCTTTTCCCATCTTTTTCAAAGATCACAGAACCAAAAGGGGCCATTTCCCTTTGATTTCTACACAACCAGACTTTTTTGCAACCACAGGAGACACCCACTGCTGGCTATTAGTAAGAATGTACTTCTGGAACAGCTTTTTTCATCAGTCACAACCATCCAGAGACTAAGATCTTGTCACCAGTCGACATGAAAGCTCAGTTTGACACACAAGTTGATATTTTCTCTCTGTGGCAGTTTGAGAGGCACGATGAGACAGATCTACAGATGCAGTGCTCAACATTTTCCAAAGAATAATATGCTATAATCTTGCATTTAAGATGATATATCTTGAGGTTCTAGTAAACACACGTCCTTTCTAAGCCAAAATCTAATGTGCATTTTTGCCAGACTGACAGAGATTCTCAGTCAGTGTGCAACATGGTCACTAACTGTGCTATCACTGATTATGTAAAAGTAGATACAAAAACAAATAGTGATGTCATGATGGCATCCAAAAAGACAAACAGAATTCATGCATCTGTAAATGCAACAGCAAAATGCAGGACCAAACACAGCCTGTCAGTCCACAAACATCGCATGAAAACGCTCACACACGCTGACTCACTAACCTGTCTTGGTCGGCACTGCGGAAGCGGGGGAGGATCATGTGGCGGAAACTGCTAGTTCGGTCCAGTTTGGGCTGACTCTTGGCCCTCTTGATTGAGCCCTTCAACCTTCTACTGAGGAAACTCTGGAGCGTGGCGGAGGAGGAGAGCGACGACGAAGGCAGACAGATGGAGTGGGAGAGGGAGGAGGAAGTGTGTGGCGCGAAGTTACAGAGACAAAGAAGTGGTTGCCGTGAATCGGAAAAGATGAGAGATTGAGCGGTGATGAGAGGTCGATGTGGTTGGATAGGACAGGAAAGTATGGTATGAATGCGGATGATTTCCATCATGTCAGCATGGTTTATAACAGATGTATTTGTGTGACGGCAAAATCAAATCGAGAGACAAACACAAATGAAAGACACGATGCATGATGGGGAGAGCACAAGGTACATTTATTATCAACGAGGAATCAACTTGCTACAGAAAATTGCAATGTTGTAACAGATCCTGTGGTGGGCAGTGGTGAACCATTCAGTCCATAAGAACAGCAGAGTCTCACAGTTTGTCCTAAATGAGCTTCCTGGCACGATACAATCAAATATCAGAGAACTGGAACAAGGAATTGTTCATTGATAAGTGTTCGGTACATATTTTACATTTCATTTACAATTATTTTTTGTCTTTCTGGCTGGAAGTGGTTCCATTTTTTGTATATCAGCATAACACTTAAAAACCACCACCCACCAGATTTTGTATCAACAAACTGCATACTGAACCCAGGATCAGAATCTCGTCTACAAGGAGTGTGAGTGTGCAGTTTCCTGTCAATGTGATGGTCATAGAACTAAAAAAAGATGGGACTTTACTTAAGCTTAAAGAAAATGAAGACATTATAGAACTAACAGCAAAATCATTTTACAATTAGTAATCTGTTTCAAACCTTTTGAAAACAAAATATCTGTTTTCTCTGTTTTTAAACCATATATTGTAAATAAACTGTTTTTGGTCGAGACTGTTGGTAACGCAAACAAGCTAGTGAATGAAGTCCCCTTGGACGATTATATCACTTTTTAAAACATTTGTAGACTTCCTGATTTCACACCCTGTGTTTGCAGACCTCAGATGTTAACGTTACACTCATTCCTGTAATAGTAAATTTAAATGTCCCCAAATATGCATGAAATATCATTACATGCTTTTTCTTCCACTGTCCCCTGAAGACGCTTTGCCCATTCAGCTTTTAGGTGCATCCTGAAGTGCTATCATTTCTATACCTACAGCATAACGACATTACTCAGCGGGAGAATGACTGGAGGGAAATGACACCTTGTCATGTGGCATGAGTCATATGGCTTTGAAGCCTGTCTTGAGGATGTGACTAAAGACTTGGCTCCATCTGCTGGTTCCAACCTAATAGTCTGCATGACTAAATCTGATTTGATTAGCTGCTCCGTCTGACACGTTAAGTCTCAAAAAGTAGAAAGTCTTTAATTCAAAGAGTGAGAGAAAATCCCGAAAGCACAATAAAGCACAATAAAGAGAGCTAAGAGGAGGCCCGCGCTTTAGCTTCTGTGGCCGTGTTTGCTGTTCTGCACTTTGTTACTGGCTCAGCTTTGGGTTCATTCCAGGTTACTGGTGTCGTTTAGTGTTCCAGCTCATTTGCTGCTGTGCATGTTTAATAGCTGTGTGTAATTAGTTATTAATTTTTTAAAACACTAATTGTCAAACATGAAATGAAATTCTGTCTGAGTTGAAAAATATGCTCAAAATGGCGACTGATGTCTTAGCAGGAGATTTATTCTGATGCTTACTTTACCGTTAATGCTATTTTACACTTGTTACAGCTTGAGGATGATTGATGCTAAATTATATTAAATTACCCAATTTATCGGTTTTGTTAGTTTCCTGTACAACAATAAATGTAATAAGTCCACATTTTCTGCATCTCTAGAACAGATGTGGCAAGTTCAAAGTCAGCATGACCCATGGAGTCATGGAACACAGCAGCATTTAGAGAGAACAAGACAGACTGAACTAAACTGGAATTATCTGTTAAGCAGGCACTTGTCCCCAGGCTAAGTATGTTTTGCCTTAGGTAAGACGTTGCCGTGGGAAAGCATTCTTATACTGCCATTCTGTCACATGCTGCTGGCTTCACAGAGATGCACACAAGGTCTCCCATGGCATCTGTGCCTTGACATGACGGTCAGGGTAATTGTAGATGCTGAGAGGTAATGATCCTCTTCTAAAGAGGAACAAAGTTTGGAGGGGAAGCCGGAAAGCTGGAGTGGTGGTGGAACACCAGAAGAGGGTTGTGGCTTGTGTCCCATTTGCAACTTGATTTACTTGCTTTTTACTTTCACTTTCAGATGCTGGTTATTAGTGTTTAGGAAAAAAATGTGGCTTGAGTTAAATATGCTTAACCAGTGTGTTTAAATGTGACAGTAAAAAGGTTCAGAATTTGATGGTTCAGGAGAGAGAATGGTCTGGCCTTCAAGACTGACGCCAGGGATCAAAAGCCTCCTGTAAAGCAGTACTACCAGAGCTTTAATGAAAGACTGTCACGTGCTTGGCTGCACTTCTGATGAGCAGAATTTGTACTGATAAGAATTTGTGCCTATTTTTAAGGGATACAGTAACAGTTCTGCTAGATTTAACTGCAATAATGATTTTTTTTCCTCCAGGTTTCAAGTGACTTGCATTAAACAAAGTGTGAGTTAAAAATCAGAATGACCTTTTTTGTCACTGCTGAAAAGTTTTGTTTGAATCTTGTGTTTCCAATATGGCATTTATCCTGTCCCTCAGGACTGCTTATCACATCACACAGGATGAAATATTGATACAACAAACACTCATCTCAGCCACTATGAAAAAAATGATGAAATAGAAAAAAACTCTGATCAAGCCCAACTGAGCCTTTACATTTCCTGTAATGGACTATCTTGCTTCTGCAATTTCCAAGTCAGTAGCGGCTATTTTTCATACTGCAGCAGTGAATGGGCAGCAAATAGTTTCCTGTGATGGGAGGAAAACACATCCTGCCGTTCCCAGCTACAGTAACGGTGTGCAAACACCAGCAGAAATAATGGAAAAGGAGATGGGCAACATAGACTGCTGGCACAAACTTAATAAGACACCAGTCAATCCTCTAAGCCCCTTCGCGTTAACATTTGATACCTTGTGATTGAGTTTCTGTTGCCATTAATGAAACAAAAACAGATTATTTGTGCCCGCAGACAAAAAATGTTTCGTGTGTCAGCTGCCCGCTTCTTCTCTGACAGACATCGTGTCTGGTTTAAAAAGAGTCACGATGATCCCAGAAATAATAGTGACACAACCTTTTTATGCTGCTCATCTTCATTTGACTTTAATGAATCATAGCAGGCATCTGGTGCATTTTAGCCTATTTACTACGAGTCACATTTACTTTATATCACATTTGCAATGTTTCAGCTCTTTGAAAAACCAGAGCATTTTCTTCTTATTAGTGGATATAGTCTCAGACCCTTGGTACAGATGACATTTAGACTGAGTAGTGTATTTTATTGCAATCTAGTTTTTAAAAGTATTTAAAAAGCATTCTCTTCTCCTTGATCTCCTTGGCCTTTGCCTGCTGCAGTTTCTGGATTTATTCATTTAATGTTTACTAATTAATAACAGTTTTAGTTTTGTGAACTGCCTTTGTAGGTCGAATGCAATCTGGAATTTAAATGCATTCCTCTCAGTTTTTCTAAAGATAAACAAAGAACTTAAAAGCCCACATAAAATAACAGAAGCCATTATAAAAGCACAAACAGATTAAACATAAATGTAATGCTACAAATGAAATAACTCATTTAGAATGATTATTAGAAACATGATTCATTTTCTTATTTTTTTTTGTATTGCCTTCTTTTTTTGTATATTTTCATCCATTTATCATCCAGCAGTTTTTTTTCCTGCTGGGGAGTCTTGGCTTGTCTCATGCCCTGTAAAATATTCATGAAATTCAATTATTTTATATCCTTAACAATGCTCATGCAAACAAACAAATTAACAAATTGCTGTGCATGTCTTTTAAAATCTGATCTGTACTTAGGCTAATCTCTATTACCGCACAACGATGAAGTAACTTTGACAAACATTAATGCTGATGAATAGGTCCATTAAAGCATTAGTCAGACAATTGATTTTCATATTTTTGCAATAAGAATGGAGAATAATGCCCATCTGGAATGATGTGAATATAAATATAACATTAGACAAAATATATACCTTCAATTTCAAAATACTTAGTTAAAAGCTTTTAAACAAACTGGTGTTAAGCTTTTAAATGTGCGCCTGCTAACAATAACAGCAGCCTAATTGTGTGAACGTGTTTCTTTCATGCACATTCCTAGCTGTCGGGCCAAAAGCCGCCTGTATGAGTGTCGGTGTAGCATGCAAAAATAGCCAGTGTCTCTGCTTCAGCCATGTTTGTGTCACATACCTCAACAGGGGGCAGTGGTGCAATATATGCTCCTCCCGCCACTGGACTCGAACCGGCAGCCCTCCAGTCTCCGCCCCAGTACAAGAAGGGGGGGGAGGAGGAGGAGGCGGCAGGCGAGTGAGGCAGGGTGAAGGACAGGGAGGGGGAGAGGGGCAGCGAGCGGGGCAAGGGGGGCGTGCCGGAACCTTTCTTGAAGCCCTTTTGCTGCTGCGGCTGCTGCTGGCAAAAGGCGAGGGAGGGGGAGACGGCCAGGGAGAGAGGGTAAGGGTGAGGCGGGGTGCCGCTGGCCCGACGGCCACAGGTGTGCGGTGGACCCAGGGCGGGAGGAGGGAGGAGGGACAGCGAGAGGGATGGAGGCAGCGAGCGAGGCCGGGAACAGTGGGGGTTACTCACGGATTGTCGGAAGGGTTGAAGGGGGGCAGTGGGAGGGACCTCCATGCTGGGCTGCTTCCCGGTGGCTATGCTCTTCCGCCGGGCGCGATGATCTGCGAAAAGGAGAGGAGGTCATCGGGTAAGACACTATTATACATCCGTGGAAGGAAAACATCAATGGTAATATGAGGCCAGGACACAAAAATTGCAGTGCAGGACACAGGTAGAGCCAGAGGATGTGGACAAAGTAATGTGGAAATAAACAGCTGCGGGACAGCCGATATTGACATTCTGCCTGAAGGAACCAAAGAATATGAGAGCTCGATAGAGGTCAAAGGTGAGCGAGACAGAAATAAAACCATGCAAGGTCACACCCATTCACCAGCATCACTGCAGATTCTGCCGCTACACAGAAACTCTTATGCACTTTCATCTGTTGAGAGTGTGGGGGCTGACAAAGTGGAGAGATAGATTTTCTGTCTGGTTGTCAGCTGAGGCAAATGTTAACAGTCTGAATGTTGAGGGGAGGAACCGGGAGATGCATGGGTAGAGAGGCGCGAGCATTAAACAAACAAAACACTTATCGACTTCCGTCTCTGAGTCAGTACATAATGCAACAAATTGTCCAGTAAAGAAATAAAGTTCTGTCCTACACTTGATGGATGATGGAGAGAGTGTGAATGCACACAGAGAGGAGCAAAAACAAAACACAGGAGGCCAACTAACGGATCAAAAAAACAACAACAGAAAAAATTTTAAAAATTTACTCAAAAATTCACTGACTGTGAATTTAAAGTATTGCCTACTTTGATCTTTGTGTCTTTCACTTTTGTCCTCCAACCAAATGCTAATTCTATCTCTGTGTCTCTGCACCAAATGTCTGCACTCTCAATGGGACTTCACAGGATATAATTACATATACACAGTTTTAATTAATTGCTTTTTCCTACAAATCAATAAATTGTACATCCATAAGATACATGGAGGATTTTGTTAATTATGTACAAACCCTTTCTTCCAGTGGAAAAAGAAATGATTAAAACCTCATTTTTATTAAGCTTCGTGTGGCTTTCCAAAACTGAGATAATAGTTTACATTTTTAAACAGCTGTTTGTTGGTTTATATGTCAATAGGGCTGCCACAAACGATTATTATGATAGTCGACTAGTCACAGATTATTTTTGCAAGTAGTCAACAAATCAGATCATGGACATAAAACTACAGCTTATTGCACCAGCAGCATCTGCTCTTATATAACTATCATTAGCTTACAGCTTGAAGTGTTTAAGGTATGTGCTAACTGAACTTTGCAGATTATCTCGGTGGAGTTTAATAAACTTCGCCATCTGCTCCTCGCTCGCTAATACATAGCATGACACTGGAGAAAATTCTCGACCACCTCACACTTGTGTTTAATGAGTTTACTGTTTAACGTTTATTCAGCTGTGTGAAAGCTATAACTTTAATCTTAGCCAAACTGATTTACTCAAGAACAAATAAAACACTGAAAAAAGCCAAACAATAATATTTTTAAGTTATCTAAGTGACTTGTATATCATGTTTAACCTGAGTAGCAAAAGACCGCGGGGGGTTTGAAAACGATGTGCTGGGAGTTCGCTGTTCTCGCTGACCTCCCGGTGAGCTATTGAGCTAGTGGCTAACAGACGTTTCCGAAAACGTCGGCGCACTTTTGCAAATATGTGATGTCTTGATAAATCGATATTGCCTCGCCTGAAATTATCTTAAAAGTTTATTTTGTGACCAAGACAGAGTATTATTAAAACTAAGTAGCTGCCGAAAATGGAATTGGTTTGGCCGCGCTATGAATTCTGGGATAGTTTGGGCCATGGACACACCCGACTCTGGGGAAAAGGAGGACGCATTTATTGGCCGCATTTATTGGACGAGTCTTTGAATTTGGACAGCCTTCGATTGCTGTAATGTAATCGGCCTACAAATGCGGCCTCCGAAGGATGTAGCTCCTGAATTTCGACACAGCTACGATACCGCAGACTGCTTCATCTTCTTCTTTGGTGTTTAACGGCAGCTGGCATCCTTGCGTCTTTCAGGATCTTACTAAGCTTCAAACGACCCATCGACTATTAGTGACTATCAAAATCGTTGACGACTAATAGTCTTCGACGATTTTGATAGTTGATGTAATCGTGACTAGTCGACTAATCGTGGCAGCCCTATAGGCCAATAAAGATTTACAGGAAGAAATCTGCGACATAAGTAAATAAATAAAATCTCCTAAGAGTTAAAGAAGTGACAAGTATCTATATATAATAACATCAATGAATAAAAGACAGGTGAGAATATTGTAAGGATGTGTAGTACTCACTTATAATTCTGCCTTGAAATTTCTGTGCACTCATTTCTAATTTATACAATTTTGTTTACAACATACCACACAGCTGAATACTAGAAAAGTATATTTTTCAGTTGCATGAATGGAGGAAAAAAGCACCATTACAATATGCCAACTAACACATAGCAACTTTTGCTGCTCTAACAGCAGAAACCGGCTAACGATGGTTAGCTAAGTATCTTCATAAACTGTACCACAAGCTAAACCTTTCTAGCAACAGAAAAAAGAATGACTTCCTAACAAATTCAACACAGTTGTAGCGACCTTTCTGTGTTCACTAAGGTAGAGGCATGTTAGAGGCACAACAAGATTTGTTGCAATGCTAACATGCTTACCAGTTATCATCTTAGCTTATGCTAATTAACAGTAAACACAAAGTGCAGCAGAGGCTGTCATTAGTTTGGCAAATCTGATGGTGGTACAAAAGGAAAGCAGTCTCACTGTCTGTCTACATATAGGCTAAAACTGACGTGTACTTTTATCAGCCTTAATAGCTGCCATGTGCCTATTGACAAGTAGCCACCATTTATCTGTTGTGTCACATCAGTTCTTTGCTGAGTAAAAAAATATTGTAAGAAAGAGAAGAAAGACTTATGTGGAAAATAACAACCAGATCAAAACACCACTGATATCAGGACTAGCTGGAGGACAAATTATTTTCAATTTGATATGGCGATGAAGGCAAACAGTAAGGGGCGGGGATTAATCAATATATATTATATTGCCAAAAGTATTCACTTACTCATCCAAATCATCACTCTATGACTTCAGGTGTACACAATCAAGCACCTAGTCATGCAGACTGCTTCTACAAACATTTGTGACAGAACGGGTCATTCTCAGGTACCATGACGAGACGCATGGATTTCCTCCCTACTAAATATTCCACAGTCAACTGTTAGAAGTATTATAACAAAGGTGGAACAACAGCAACTCAGACGTGAAGTGAAAATAACAGAGCGTGGTCAGCAGATGCTGCACACAGATCCCCAACTTTTTGCAGCCTTAGTCACTATAGGCTTCCAAAAACTATGTGCAGAGAGCTTCATGGAATGAAGTTTTCATGGCTGAGCAGCTGGATCCAAGCCTTACATGACCAAGTGCAATGCAAAGGATGCAGTGGTATAAAGCTCGCTGCCACTGGACTCTAGAGCAGTGTTCTCTGGAGTAACAAATCATGCTTCTCCATCTGACAGTTAAATGGACAAGTCTGGGTTTGGCGATTGCTAGTTCAGCGGTACTTGTCTGACTGCATTGTGCTAAGTGTAGTTTTGTTTGGTGTGAAAGAACTTTACTGGCCTGCACAGAGTCCTAACCTAAACCCGATAGAATACCTATGGGATGAATTAGAGTGGAGAGTGTGAAGCAGGTGCTGTAGGTGCATAAATCATTTTAGCTCGTTTTTATCTGACATAGAATGAAACTTTCAGGAGATTTGGTAACTCAGGGGACCTTAAGCTGTGCCCACACTGGAAATGTTTCGCTTTGAAACTGACATCTGGTCACTTGCTGACATTCCAGGCTCTGGTTGCCAAGGTAACCTTCTAGGTCAAGTGTCAATCAATGTGACAGTCGGTAACCCCTTCAATCGCTTGTCTAGTAGCTAAGGAAGGTTTATTCCAGGTCCCGCCCACTTCCCGTTGGCAGCAGTTATTTCGCCCATAGTTGCTTGAAAAATCTAAAAATGTCAGTTTCAGTGGTTTTTGGTCACCATGGCACTGCAAATCACTTGCAATATAGACGCAGCTTAAGATTGGTTGGTCGACTCCTGACGATGAAAGTGCAGAGACAGAGATTGCAGATATTATGGTAATATTAGACATTACCATCTGCAGAGCCAAACCACTGAGATGGCTGAAAAAATTTAAATAAAATCCAGAGCCACGGTAAATATGTAGAGTTACCACAAGCTACCATGTTTCATCATTCTTGGAAAAGGATCACCATACCAAACCGGCTTAAATCATCACTTTTACTATCCCAAAAACTCATCAGGAAGATGCCTATGAAAGCCTACTTTAATCCTGTTTTAATCAGACATTCTTTGTCCAGTTTTTCCCTTTACTTTCAGCACGGCCCTCTGAAAAGACCTGCAACACGCTAAATGTGATGAATGTGATACAGGTAATAAATTGGTTATATGTGTTGAAATTTCTGATATTGTTTTCCTGTATTTCAGCCCGTCTCACATCTTTTCACATTGATCATGCTAGTATCTGTGCTCTTTCCTTGCTTTCTCCTTCTCTCAGCCTCTTCTGTCACACTCAGACACACACACGCCTCCTCTCTCCCACGCAGCTATTTTACATAATTCAAATAGTGCATTTACCCTGCTACCTCTCCTCAGCCCTTGATCTTTCTCTCTTTCTTTCACCTCCTTGCACCCTCTTGTTCCCTCCCCTTCAGATATGTGCATCATGTAGATGCCCTCCATTTTCTTCATACTTACCTTTATCTGGATTCCTCTTTTATCCTCATCGGCCCTCTGCTCTCATTCTCTGTCATTTACCTGTCCAAATGGCAATCCTTTCACTGTGAGCCTGCCCCTCTTTCTGCCTGCAGTGTTCTCCTACCCACACAAGGTGGGAAAAATAAATGACCATCACGGAGTTTGTCGGAAAACGCACCAAGATAACTTTCCCCCAAAATGTACACCTTCAAAATTTAACACCTGTAGGCTGGATGACAGGCAAGTGGAGGAGTCTTAAATCTGTCACAGAAGAAGAGAAAAATCTACAATAA